AAAGGCTTTTTTGCGTTATCAGGGCTACAGTGGCAGTGGGAACCATTCTCATTGAGTTACAAATACTAGATAGCCTAAGAAAAACAGGGAGATTGAAACAGTCATGAAGTTTATATTGAAACTGGTTTTTACCTCTGTAGTATGAAGTCACCTACAGCTGTTTCATTCTTCACCTAAGAGAGATTTCATGTCGATGGGCACATATACTCACAGAGAAGTCTATAGGATGAATATATCTCACAAGGCAACAGCCCAGTCTTTGTTTTTTTACCATCAAAGTTAATATGGATCTTTTTCAAAAGTGACGTCATTGAGATTGAAGACAATTATAAACTGTATCAACAATATGTACTACAGCCTGCAAGTCACAATCTGTGCACACCCAATGGAATATATTATTGCTTGTTAGCCTATTAGACTTTCTTTATAAAAAGATTTTTATACAGAGTACAGGATTATGACAAAACTAGCTAAGTAGTTCTCATCTTGAAAATACAACATCAATTCTTTCAACAAAGGCTTGAATAGTAGCTGAGAGTTAATGAACGATAACAAATATTTACTAATAATTTTATGGCCAGTTTGAACAGAATTTCTTATAGGACTCTTTTCTGGTGTTTATTTACATATGCCTCTTTTCTTTTGGAAAAAAGTTGATAAAATAGAACAAGGAACATAGAAATCAAAAGAATGAGTAAACTTCATACCAAGAACATTAAACATTTTTGAAAACACTAAATTATGTTATCTGTTAAAAAACATACATCATTTTGTCTTTAAAGAAAAATATTTTTTCCTGTTTTAAAATATTACCAACAGCATGTAATAAACTAACTTAAAATGAGTTTCATAAAAAAGTTGTCTTGCTGTCTAAACATTGCTAAACATGCTTAGGTTGAGATTCTGTTAACTGCCTCAACATCTTAAAAACGGCTCCTTTAAAGGAACCTGTGATATTCATACTCCAGAAGACCTGCAAATTTAGCACAGTACGTTGATAAAGGATCCGGTAGCTAGAAACAGTAAATAAATATTTTCATTCCAAGCAAATAATTCTGCAATGTCCTTTGAAACAATCCATGGCCAAGAAGTGGGGATGTACTTGGCGGAACAATAAAGTCACCTGGCCCTCACCCTGCCTGTGGACACAAACGCCCGTGCAGTGCAAAAGGGATGCTCCAGCCCAGGCGGCTGCAGGGTGAGGACCCATGGATTGAACTGCAGAGTGAGGACCTTGTGTCGGCTCTGTGGCACCCCAGCTGTGTTGGGGCAAAGGGAAAGCAACACCAGGAGACTGGGAAAATATCACATTTTTTGCCTGAACAAACCAGGACTAACCACGGTCACGGCTGCTTTCTGCTCAGACCACAAAGAGGACAAAGCCGCGTGCAAGGCATGGTGCCAGTGCTCTGCTCTCCCTGTCTGCAAGGGATTCCCGCTGGGGAGAGACCATTCTGCTCTCAGGGACGCTTCAGCATCAGGATTTCTTTGTTTTCCATGGTAACAGTAACGCAGGTAACATTTAGGGACTGTGTGTCCTGGGTTTTTTTGGCATTTCATGCACAAGGAACAGGGAATGAGCCCTGAGCTGGGCAGGTATTTATCTCTCCTCAGTCTCATCCCTCACCACTGCTCACAGACCAAAAATACCATGATGCCTTTAAAACTTTATTTTTTTATTTTTTTAATTTTTTTTTTTAAGTCTCCTGCTCTTCCTCTCTCTCCCCCTCCCTGACTATAACAAACAGCTGGACTCAGACACAGGAAAACACTCAGGACTTGCAAAGGGGACCAAAGTTTAGTTTTCAGCTGCTCACCACTCTAGCAAACTGCTACTTTTTACACGATGACACTGGTAATCCCAACTATCAGATCACATCACTTCAGACAGAAACCGGCAAGTCAAATTTGGGGGGGGAAGGTTAGGCTTTATAAAAATAAGCTATTCTAAGCCTGAGACTTGCCTTCAATGCTATAGTGGGAGTCTTTAAATTGATGGACAACTAGAAGACTCCTTTTTTAACTATAATACACCATGGTCAGTGCAGGAATTACGTGCATGAGTGAAGCAAGAATTTAAGACTGTAGGGTACCATGCAACTCTCCTGGCCTCACTCTGTGCCCCACGGGTGCTCTCAGAAGGGCTCCTGTGAGTCTGGTTTACAAAGGGAGATCATCTGCACTAGGCAGTTCGCGTGACTCCGCTGTGCATGGCAGCCAGGGGTTGCACCGTTCGCTTACTGGGGAGAAACAGGACTTGGAAGTGAGTAGAAACAAAAGCGAGAACCACTGGATTACAACCAACCACGTAAAAAATGCAGAAGAAAACAGGACGGAGCAGACTGTTAAAACTGCCTCCAAATTTCAGAATCTGAGACGTTAACAAAAATAACAGAAGTAGAACTGTAACTTTTTTTTTTACCCTGACAGTGACCTTTTAGCATGATTAAAAACATAGGGAAGATAGTCCTCAGTGTTAAGTAGTCCTATTGCAACTAAACTGATCATCACTGAGCTTGCAGAGCATTTGGAGGGGCAGGATAGAGACACACGTGGCATTTGCCAGGCATACAGAAACTGAGCTTTTCAACAGACAGTCATTAAACAAAGTGTTCGGGGGGAATATTTTTGGTGTATATAGTCTCCTACTCCCCATTAAAGACTACAAAAATGTTGCATTCATCTTACTGCACACAGGAAAACCATGATTAACTAGCTATTACTGGTAGATAATGTCCAAACTAAGTACCAATATAAAGTTTTCGGCATAACTGAAGACAGAAGCCCTGTTACGCAGCTTCCAGGTCTGGCATGTACCTGGAGCTCCCCACGGTCCTTTTAAAGACATAGTTATTAAAAGATCCTGTGCTACAAACCACTAAATCTACCTAATCTATTCTAGTTCATACACATATTGTACAATATTGCCTAATACTCACTACATACCAAGAGGAAAAGATGCTGACTTGAATTACGGTAAATGTGCTTTTTTTAATTGAAAAAAAAATAAAAGAGAGCGCCACAACATATTTTGACCAGCATGCAACAAACTTTCTTCAGCTAATATATAGAAATTTTCTAATACGATTAGAAAAAATAATTAGTGAGAGGCCAGAGACTTATTTGATCAAGGAAATTAAGAGATTTATCTAAAATGTTGAGGCTTTTGCCATTAAAGACTCAAAAAACTCTTCATTCTATGTCCCTTCTCCTCCCTCCCTCTCCTTTATATTATATAATTTTTTACAGAGATTATTGTAAGGCCTGTTATTTTTGCACCTATCCTGTTAATTTATCTCAAAATAATTTAAAATGCCATAGACAAGCTAGGACCAAAAGCAACTGCTTTTACCATCCACTCAACACTCATGCTTTTATTCTAACAAAGCTGAGGTCCACGTGCAGAAATAAATGTTCAGTATGCCTCTACTACAGGTCAAGAATCTGCTCATTCCTAAACGTAACATGGGACCTTCACTTTTAAATCACAATTAAAATACCTCCAAAAGCTTATTTTGAGACAGCAGTCATCAAATCCTCATTAAGAATTATGACAAAACCTAGCCAAAACAGGTCTATCAACAGAAAATCTTTGGTGATTCTCTGTGATTTTGGATAGTAAGTTGTTAATTGTCTGAAGGATCTAGCGCGCTTACGCCAGCACACGACTCTGCTGACAACTGCTGCTGCAGCTCAGAGAACGTGTTTCACTGGCTTCATCTACAAGTCTCGTTTACATCAAGTGTTGCACTTTAATTAACAAAATATACATGCGGTGACCACTGCATCTTCAGATTCCTCACCCACTACTTCGCCATACTTCGGGGATTGCATCTCCTCTTGCAGGACACTTGACAGTGTTTGGGTACTACCGAGACTGCCTAAAGCACCTTGCTCTCCACAAGGAAGGTTACATGCTCTCCAGCACCTTCTTGCCAGATGACAAACCGAGGTTTCTTTCTTCTGCACTCCCAGAAACCTCAATCTCCTCTCCCATGGCAAAATAAAACAGTCCTGTTTCAGGTCAGTCCACAGCACAACAGGAAGGGCAGCATCTCCAGCAGATATGTACCAGTACAAAGGAGATGGAAGAAAAGCAGGAGATAGAAGACATCGTGACTGAATGACGCACAGCAACAAGTAAGGGAGTCAGTAAATTGTAGAACATTGTATCTGACAATACAAAACATATCTGAAGCTGCAAGTCTGATGTTCAGCTCACACTTCTAGTGTTTGTTTTTTTCTGAGCAAAAATGCAGTTAATTAGCCTGCTAAATTCAAACTCTGTTCAAACTGTCTGGTCTAAGTAGGTGCTACTTATTCTCCCACCAAGTATGCTTCATCAGCAGTGTTAGACAAGTAATGCAGTAAAGACACTTGCTGGTAATTTGGCACAGTTTGAAAACACAGCGACAACAGTGTTACAGTTAACATGACTCAGTGATAGGGAACTGGTTCTAAAGAAAGAGTTGCAGTCTTTCTTGCTCTTCCTTTCAAGAAGAAAGACCTTCTAAAAAAAAAAAAAACAAACCAACCCTAATGCTTCCTCTTAAACTTTCTGGTCCTACTCTTTTTAGGTCAGAAATTGGCCTCCGAATTTTTCAGGTACTTTCTCGTGAACAAATCTGTGTTAGAAATTCCCAAGATGTACAGTTAAGAAAAATACCTTCCTTACTCCCTGCAAATGCTTTCAAACGCTGCAACCTTCCAGAGTTAATACTGATCTGAAACAAGGGTCCAAGAATGACAGCGAGAGAAGTGAAACAAGAGGTGTATGTCTAATTTGACAACTAGGACTCATGCCCCACGGCACCTCCTCCTTGGATGGAGAGGGCACAGCGCCCTCCCCCTCGTCTTCTGTCTAAGGTCACTGGTTTATCCTCCTCTTCCAGCTCCACAAGAACTGATTGAACATGCATTGCGCTTGAGGTCAGAGTTCCAGCAAACAAAACCTTGACAGCATGTTTAAAAAACAAAAGCAGTTCCCCTTCCTTTACTCACTAAGACCTGTCACAGCAGGGTCCCACTGTGCTCTCCAGGGAAAGCTGTGAGGACTGACGCAGGAGCGGGCCTGTAGTGGGATCTACCATCGAGGAGGTTGGGAAGAGCTTGTACCAGCCGATTGCTAAAGTTGACAAATCCAGTTCTTCCAGGAGGACCCTGGCGACTCCCATGAAGTGCTTGCGCTCCATGCGTCCATAGTTTCCCCAGACTATCACCTTAGGAACAAGAGGGGGGAGCACAGTTAATCCTCCAGCTGGCACACTTGCTTGGGAAGCACAAGCCTGATCAATCCTCCTTTCTACTCATCCAGCTTCCCGGGGCTTTACTACAGCTCGAAAAGAGCAGAAAGGTTCACGCTACCATCAGGTGACGTGAAGCTCTGGCTGATGATTTTATTTTTTTTTTTAAGCAGTTTTACAAATCCTAATGCTATCGGACTTTTTTTCTCCCTCCATGGAAAAGAGGTGAATGTGCATGTGGATGAGACACCATTCTGCTGTTCTACCTGCTGGACGGGGACAGCACCTGCACAGAGTATCCCCGGAGCTGCAGCTCCAACACCCGCAGGTAAAACCTGGTCCTGGCACAGTAACAGGCCTTGGACACCACAAAAGGTGGCCTGGGGCAAAAGGGCAGGAAGGGCTCCTGATCTGGAAAAATAAACTGACAAAAAAAAGGCGGGCAATAGCTTGGGTCAAAAGCCAACAGTTGGAGGAAAAGAGCATGTCTTAACTTCTGCACTCGGAGCTTGTGAGGCAGGGCAGACGGAGACAAGGCACAGCTACTCACCTGGAGAAAGGGCAGGAGCCGTGGGGTGGCAAGTGGGACTGGTGACGCAGGGGGCACGCATGGAGTGGCATGCAGGGGAAGCAGAACAGACTGCCGAGAAAGGCTTGCAGACGCAGAGGAAGGTCTAATGAAAGAGAGCTGGCAGACGAGCAGGGAAAGCTGAATCACACTTACAACACGATGGAGACCAGTGGGTGGAACAACAGATGAAGTGAGGGTCATGGGCTTAGGCATGCTGGAGGTCTGCGCGCGACCAAGCGGCCCTACGTGGCTCAAGACAAAGGTGACGACTGACTCCAGAGCGAGTCCGTGTTCTGAAGAGAGGACGAGTACGATGGGTTATGACAGTGACTAGTGATCCCTGGCTAATCCTGACAGCTGCTTTCCCTAGGCTCCAAATAACCAGAATATTACAATTTTCTGTAAAATGAGGTAGGAGAGACAACAGATGTTGACTAAAAGACAAAAATTAACACCCTATGTCAGCATGAGATGGAGCAAGCCACTGCACAAAATTGGTTTGGTGGCACGGCCGCTGGCAGAGCGCCAAGCTCCTCATTTCATTCTTTTGGAGTAAGTGCCTTTCCTGGCAGCAAGGCAGCAGGTAAGGAAACCCATGCAAGGCAAGAGCAGCCCAACCCAGGTCCCACCCCATTTCAGTCAAAAATGGGCAGTCTCATTGCAACAGGGGGAAACGCTTCTCATCAAGTTAAATAAGGAAGAGTTTGGTAATGAGAAGGATCCAGCAGGTTAGCTGGCAATTGATAATGCCAGTGGAGGTAAGCAATAGAAACTCACGGATTAATTACATCAGTATCACCAGTGGATTTTAGCCAGGCTTTATTGGACGGAAATGATTTAGGTATGAATTAACAACGCACATCACTCTCTGCTCTGGAAACATAGGTGCAGAATTGAAAATATGAGTATTGCAGAAAATATATGGCAGTAAAAGAGGTAGAAAAAGGTAGGATATTTGATTGGGTGATGGCCAAAGCAGAGTACTCTGAATATGTATAAACACAGAAGAGGAGCTATGCCACAAGATTGTTTAGCATCTATAGATACTACCTATCTCCTAACTGGGCAGGGAAAAAAAGAATTAAAAAAATAAAAATCAACCTTTTCCTGGTAGGCACTCATGTTACCTGGCAAAGTGTCAAATAATAATCAGTTTGAGTATGAAAAAAAGGTTTTGCTTTCCTCTCGTTACGTTCAGATCGAGTGCATTTGGTTCAATGAAAACATTGGCTTTTTGTCATCTAGGTTAATTACCCAGCTCCCTTGCCAGTCATAGTATCTTCCAGCAGAGGTGGAAGAGACAGATGGGCAGACCTGAGACTTGCTCTTCTTACCTGTAATACTTTGCCCTGGGGACTCTCAGCAAACAGTAACACCTGATTGTACAAAGGGTCTAACGATTTGCGAGCCACTTTTGTCTTCTTTTTCGCAATGCACACGCCATTCTCTAGCAGGTAAGCTTTGATGTAAGCAGCTGGAAAAAATAAATATGGTCAAATATGAAAAAATCTTCATGCTCACTTTAGAAAAGACAGAGTGCCATGTCTCGGCTATTTCTAAAGAAGGCAGTTACAGCAGTGAAAAGGTTTGCTCAACCAGCCTTATTTTCAACACCGCATACAGACTGCTTTTTTCTGCAGAAGCCAAGCGGAATTGAATTTTTTCCTATTCACAAGCATCGCAGGAGGCTGGGCCTCAGTGAATTACTCTAGGAGGTCAAAGCATACTACCTGGCAGTGTTTTGGAGCCGGGTTTTGGTGTCAGTCCTCGAGCCTGAATGATATCCACTTCTAGCTGCCCATTTCGCTCTTGCAAGCCAATTTCCACATCCCCTAAAGATGTCAAAATAGACAGAAAACATTCAAAACAATACATCTGTGGGCTACTAAAATGTAAAAAAAAAAAATACAAACCAAACTTCATGTCACGCCTCCTACAAGCTGTAACACACTGTAGGCCCTGAGTGCCTGATACCCTCCTGCATTACTCTGGAGCAGCTCTGCAGTGATTCAAGCCCGCAGTTTCAAAAGCAATCTCTACTGTGAGCCCTCTAACACGGCTTTGGTGACTCAGCCGCATACTCTTCAGGGCAGCTAGCCTCTCATCTCTCCCAACCTGGAGTACCTAGAGTTGCAGGCTGATTCGGAAAATGCAATTATGGTGGACCACAAGAAAATCTTTAGAGAGCCCTGTGGGCCTTAGAAAGCAAGAAAAACATGAAGACGCACAGGATGCATTTTCAGGATTTAGCTGTATTTTAGTCTATGCCTTTCAGACCTGACATAGGAAAGCGCAAAGCTGGTGCTCTCCTACTAATGCCGCATTCGCAGCAATCAGCAAAACCTTTCAGCCAAGCTTACTTGATTTAACAGAGAAACGGAGCTGGGGAGTGGTAGAGCAGCAGATGCTGGACACATTATTAGGTGGCTGTAGGAGCAATCTGTTCAAGATCAAATTAAAGCCACCTAACATCTTTGTGTTCCTTACCCATCGAGGTGGTGGCCAAGGTCTGACGCCCAACAAATTGTGCAGGGCCCATGCTCCCCAGGAAGTCGCTGAACTGCCCAGCAGATGCCAGATGGACTCCACTGAAATTCAAGCTGCAAAAGAAATTGATTTTGGCAAGTGGTTAATTTGCATTTTAAAGCAACCTAGCAACTAAAGAACCAGATATAATACATCCTTGAAATGAATGACATCTACAGAAGCCTTTTTCCCTTGCAAAACTCACTGATTTCCATGCAGTTTAGTTACATGGAATCTGTTTAAAATCCCTTTCCTCATAGAAAAAAAAAAAAAGAGCAGTAGTGGTTGCAGTACACAGTTGGTTAATACTTGTTTAACTATAACTAGTTGACTGCAAGGAAAATCTCTGCGATCTCAGGCTCATATGCAGCCTGTCGCCTCTTACAGGTAGCATTATAATCTAAGCATATTCCTAGCATAGCTTATAGGGTCTCTCCTGGTAGCTGTCCCTTCCCAATCCTCATTTCTGGGGAGGAAATAATGCATCTAGAACAGCAGTTAAAAGCGAGATGAGCAATCTCCTTGGGACTCAACTCCCTATTAATTTATCACACGCACACAAAGCAATCCATCTCCTCCTTGACCAGAGGGCCCCATTTCCTACCGCTCAGCACCAGAAGCATCCATCACATCCACTGTGGGGTTTTCATACCTGCTCCCATGACTGGGCCTGAAGTGACCACAAAGAGGACCTGAACACTGGTGCAAGGCTAAAGGGACAACAGCCTCGAACACCAGCAACGCCTCTGCCACAGTCACTACAGCAAAACAAAAGTTGCTGGGGGGACAGAGCCTCCCAATCTAGTCACCAGGCACCTGAGGCTGGTCTACAGCTTGGCTACAGGTGCTGGTCGCTGTGACACGGGTGAAACAACGCAAAAGGGTCAAACCCTGTGGTCCAGTGATACAAACCATGATTTTCCCATCTGCACCCTGATTTACGCAGCAGTTTCAGAGGTTGTGGGAAAATTCGCTGCGAATGGTAAGGAGGAGGCTTGGGGCCACCACTCGACACCTACGTTTGTCCTGCAGGCATCTGCCAAACCATGACACAGCTGCTGAAACACATGTCAGGAGCTTTGTGCCGTGGTACCCACGTACCGCACCGGGTTTTGCGCTCTCCATCTGGGAAAGCCGCTGCATGCTAAAGTCAGACACAATTACGAACCTTCTGCACTTTTCCAAATACCCTTAGAGGGGGACGATTACCCATGTAATGATACAGCTCCCTGCTTCCCCAAATTCGTTTCTTAGAAAGGATGCCACAACGAGGCTGCAAGTTTGGTACAAGCAAAGCCAGAGAAGAACCTTGCCTGCAGGGCGGGCTGGGGACCACAGGCTCTCAAACAGCCTGAGTCAGCCACAAAGATGCATTGATTCCCCTCTGCAAGAGAGCTGCATTTAAAAGACTTACAAAAAAATAATTATTTTTAATATCCCATTTAGCCAGAAGAGTGCTAATTTCAGGTTGGGATTTCAGCGCTCATTAGCTATTTGCAGACCTGGTCTCAGCCCCATAGGAATATTTATTTATTCAGATGAGGAACAAGGAAGCCAGCACACACACCTCAGCATCTCGCCACCCATGGGACTGAAGAGGACGCGTGACTAGCACGTGTCCTCATGACAGGTTCACGGGGTGGCTCAGCAAACTGTGACAGGGGCAGTGAATTAAACAGCCAGACTTTTCCACGGAGCTCTGCACCTCCCCCCTACGCTGACCTGGCTCTTTGAGAAACCTGGTTATTGCTGCTACACAGGTAACTGCTGAGCCATCAGCATGGAAAAATCTGCCCTTGAGCTCCTTACAAATGTCACCTTTGTGGAAAGGGATGAGGGAGGAGGGTGTCTTGGCATCCTTAAGACAGGCTTGGGAGGAGCTCTGCACAGGGTGGATTTTCCCTGGTTTGGTGTTTTTTCACCCTGCATCCACTGTTTGCACAAACACTCCAGGTGATATTTTGAGATACAACAGAAACAGCAGGATTTATATTTGGCATTAATTGCAGAGAAGGCTTAAGATGTTCCTCGGTTTTCAGTGTCATCGACTCCTCTGAGGCACAAAGTGCATCCCCAGTGCCACCGTCCATCCCGGGATCAGAGGAAGCATGTGGCTGTGCTCTGCTCCCCTAACCCCACTGCTGTCCCATCACCCAGCTAGCATCTGCCTGCCCCGATGGGGCAGTCCTCTCTGGAGAGCAGCAGCCCTAGCCCAGGACCAGGGCAGAGATGCTGGATGTGCAGCCAAGCTCCCGAGGACAGACTGCCCACAGAGACAACCCCACGGCTGGTAAATCTGCAGGGACAGGGACATGTGACGGAGAAAGCAGGGGAAGGGGGAACGCGTAGCCAGACAGGCTTTATCAAGCTCATGATTTGCCCATAGAAGGAGGGAAGAAGTGAGTCCTGGTGCACACAAGGACCAGCAAGACTCCTTGAGCCTGCTGGCTCAGACATTTTGAGCTGCCCACAGAGTCAAAAAAGGATGAAAATTAGTGCTTACAGAACCCAAAATAGTTCAAGAAAAAGGAGACTTGACAGAGAAAGACATAAGATTCAGCAGAAGATGAACAGACCATCAGCCAGAAGGTAAATGTTTTCTTTATTCTCCTCAACTCATGGAAGATAAATGGGCCAAGCTCAGGTCTCACTCCTACCCTGGGGAGTATGTGACCTGAACGAGCACGTAAATAACAAGCTGGCAAGACAACTCACAGCCATTCAGGGAAATGTTCACTGCTGTGCTCAAAACAGATGCTTGGGCTCATTAACAAGATGCTGAGCATCAGGACAGGGGAGGGGAAGCCCAGCACTGTGAGAGTCCACAGCACACCCAGAACCATTTCTCAGAGCCATCTCTCTCCAAGGCGAAGTCTGGCCATGTCACTGCAGTGGGGACACAAAGCTGGGAGAAGACCACCCACACAAAAATCCACTCACTGCAGGAGAGCAAAGAAAAGAGCCCCTTGTAGCCCCTGAATACTCAAAATGATTCACAAAACCTGCCACAGAAGACCATTTCCCCTTACCTGCTGGGCAAAGAACCATGCTGAAGGCTGATGCCAAATATTTTTCTGTGCTTGATGCTCGCATGGAGTGAAGCCACCCGTGCTCTTGCACATCAGCTCACCCCTCCTCTGGGCAACGCTGCTCCCAAAGGCTCTGCCCAGCAGCTGGGGCAGCTCAGGAGCAAACAAAAGCACCTGCTGATGCTGCAGCCTACATCAATGATACTCCGTTGTGAAGCAAAACAGCAGGACAGCACGAAGAACAGCGTTAAAAAGCACAAGAGCTGTTGGGCTAAAGGTGAACCAATAGCAACTGGAAGTGTTTACAGCAAAGCAAAAGTTGCTGTTACCTCCACACAGGTTCAGAAGTCAGAGGGCTCGGGATGACCTCAAAATCATAAACGCTCCTCAGTGCAAATTACAGTGAGAGGGCAGGACATTGCTGCAGGGACGCCAGGGCTGTGCCACGAGCATGAACCCTCACAGGTAGAGCTGTGGAACAGCTGCTCAAATGAAGCTGCTGCTTGGTAGCACCAAGGCTGAGCAAGAGGAACAGCAAAAGCCCACTTAAAAATGCAGGCCAAGGTCAAGGCTCCGGCAGTTTGGGTAACAGCCTCAGTTAATAGGTTTACTAGCACTATATGAAACTCAATATTGAGTTAGACAATTAATGTCCCCTGTTGTTATATTTGACTGGGAAGAGAAGATGTAGAGAATTAATTCTTTATTAGATTATGCCATTAAGTGGTGGGACTGTCTGCTATGTTGCACACAGCCTGACCTTTTGCAGTGCTTTATTAGACATTGGAAGCAGCAGCTCTAAATCAGGCTCCTTGGCTTTCACCGATTCCTGGACATATATTTGGGTATTGCCAATAACTATGGAATGGAAACAATTTCTGTCTGGAAAAATCATAAGCTACCTCCAAGAAAGCCACTGCTGCTCCCTTGAGAAGAGGGGGAAGGGGAAAATAAAACTGCAGAAATTTAGTATGGATGTGAATTAAAAACAGCAGGAACATTTAGCTGCACTGGCTAAATTTAGGATGCTCAAATCCAGCTCAGTGAGCTCTGTCTGTCAAGTACTCAGAGAGAAGCTGGGATGCCGAGGTGAGGGGGCTGTGAATGGTGTGATTCTGAGATCGGTGGGACAGACCTTCCTGATTCACTCACTTGCTTTTCCTGCAGCTGAAGCAGGAAAAGAGCTCCAGGGACTATTGCAAGTTCTTTCAGGTCTTTAAACACAGCCCTGGTGCTCCCAAGAGCGCTCTCCTGCTACTTTGCCGCATGCTGCACACTCAGCACACTTTTCCCGCCTGACCTCTGATGAAACTGAGCCATTTGTCACCTGCCCTTGATGCAGCAACGAGCTGTCCAGCTGAACCACCAGAGACTGGCCGTGCTGGCAGGGAGATGTCCTCCCAAGGGGATCTGCCGCAGGTGACAGTGGCAGCTCCACCCTGGGTGACAGCCAGCAGATGGGTTTCACGTGTACTGGGGCAACCCTGGAAGGCCCTTCCCCTCCCATCACCAAACATGCCTCTCCCTTAAAGGGAGAAATCATTACAACCTGGTTATCACCAATACAAGAGGTCTCTTTTTTTTATTGCCATCTAAAAAGAAGTGCTAAAAATAGCTGGAGGAATAAAGAAAGAGCATGTTGCAGCTGACTTGCAAATAGGAACTGTCATAACCAGCAGGGCCCTGGGGACGGGGGCTGTGGCAGGACCATCTCAGGCTGACAAACAGCCACACGCAGAGAAGATTAACAGGTGACATTTGTCAGCCTTTTGTCTAAAGGGCACAAATCCTCTGCTGAGTGAGGGCAGCATAGCCTTTTGAACAGGGAAGAGAAACTAATTATCTCTTCTCTGGCCCTCTGCTTTCACTAATCATGATTCATGGGCTCTGCTTTGCCACAACTGAATGAGAATGATCTTAACAAAGTTAAAGATTATGGGGTTTGCTGCGGAATTGGTTGTTAGTCGAATGTGACTCTGTTATTGACCTGGAGGCACAGGGAGAGCACAGGCAGGTCAGTGACACCTCTGGGGTGTCAAGGACAA